ATGGAGGTAGAAACATTATGCTTTGGGGGTGTTTTTCTGCTAAGGGGACAGGACAACTTCACCGCATCAAAGGGACGATGGACGGGGCCATGTACCGTCAAATCTTGGGTGAGAACCTCCTTCCCTCAGCCAGGGCATTTAAAATGGGTCGTGGATGGGTATTCCAGCATGACAATGACCTACAACACACGGCCAAGGCAACAAAGGAGTGGCTCAAGAAGAATCACATTAAGGTCCTGGAGTGGCCTAGCCAGTCTCCAGACCTTAATCCCATAGAAAATCTGTGGAGCGAGCTGAAGGTTCGAGTTGCCAAACGTCAGCCTCGAAACCTTAATGACGTGGAGAAGATCTGCAAATAGGAGTGGGACAAAATCCCTCCTGAGATGTGTGCAAACCTGGTGGCCAACTACAAGAAACGTCTGACCTCTGTGATTGCCAACAAGGGTTTTGCCACCAAGTACTAAGTCATGTTTTGCAGAGGGTCAATTACTTATTTCCCTCATTAAAATGCCAATCAATTTATAACATTTTTGACATGCGTTTTTCTGGATTTTGTTGTTGTTATTCTGTCTCTCACTGTTCAAATAAACCTACCATTAAAATTATAGACTGATAATTTCTTTGCCAGTGGGCAAACGTACAAAATCAGCAGGGGATCAAATATTTTTTTCCCTCACTGTATTTCTGAAGCAGAGAAGTCTGGTAAACAATGTGGACTAGTAGTATGAATCTATAATAAGTGAAGTTAAAATAGATCATATTTGTCTAGCACTCAATAATAAAGCTATGTTTTAAGCGAAGATGAGGCGTTCATTCAGTCCTGATGGCTTAACGGTGTTTAGTTTGAATACGAAGTGGACCTTCTGTCCTTTTTCTCGTCTCATTCCCCTCACTGGAGATCAAGACAAGGCCATGCACCAACATGTGACTGTGGCTGTGGTCCCCGCTGTTGAAGTGAGACGTCAAATATAATTTAGAATAATAAAGCACAATAGTGCGAGTGGGTCACATGACTCACACTGCCAGTTATACTTTATCTATTTTTAGTTATTTGCTTTTCTTCACTATACTTTGCACTCTGGTCGTTTTTGTTACTGTTTGTTGTTGTAGCTTTCTGACACGTCCCTACTGGACATCTGTGAAAAAGAGCCGCATAGCTCATCGGATGTCTCCAGGATAAATAAAGATTTGGATTCTTGGTTACCACCATAATGCAGCAGGGCCAACAATATTCAGATTCTACCACCTCGTACTACACTAGATAATAGCAATGAAATTACAGTATGGAGTGAATCGGTTACGATCAATTACGTATTTCGCTCGCAAGACACGCATTGAATTGTGGGGCATGAGAGTGGAACATTCACGATTCATGAAAACGATTCGCTGATGTGTCCCCTCCATGGTGTAGCGGGTAACATATGCTGATGAAACGTTTCCTGTTTAGGCACATTGGCGTGTTGCTTTCATTTTTCACTTCAGCTTCCCCAAAGCAATTAAACCGGCTCTTGTTCGCCTTTCTATGTTTATGGATTCGTAGTCCACGTTCATGCATTCATAGCCAATACAAGTGGTCAATTGAAGTGATCTCAGAGGTACCTCTGTGATGTCCACTTCCGTGGGCCATTCTCTGTACCTGTGAGGATTGCACTGCTCCGAAAGCAACTTTACTAAGCTATTCGTCTCGCGACACGACACCGATCATGTTAAAATTGCGGGTGAAAGACAAAAAATATAGTTGAAGATGTGACACCCGAAAGCTTTTATTCACGTGGAAAAACATGGACTCTAAAATCACAGAGAGGTGTAAAATCTACAGGGGTTTGGAGGATGACGGCCATTGGCTAGACTCTTCCCAGCTGTCCTACCTGCTCAAGAAAAGAGTATCCACGTGAATCATTAGGACCCTTCTTGTCTACGTAAGCATTGGAATGAGCCGTGCATTCTACAGTGACCCACAAGTGCAGGGGTCGGCAAACTGCGGCTCCGAAGCAGCATGCAGCTCTTTGAGGACTACTCCGTGACGTTGTTTATTAAGGACCACCACCGTCACGCATTCACACGCATTGCGGCTCTCGATATATATTGAGTTGTTTTTTTTTAACGAATTCTTAAACAATGGCACTTGTTGTTTTGCTTGCCGGCCCCTGAACGAGTGGCTATGCAGGTACAGTAGAAGCCTTCCACAAGCCAAGGGAAACACAACATGCAATTCCTTTCTGAACAAAATCGATGCAAACCCATATCGCCGTGGTTTTTGGTATCTCCATCTTTTCACGAGTATATCATTTGAATGTATAACTCGTCTTAAAGAGGACCACATCTCAAGACTCACGGCCATCTACAAATAAAAGTTTATTTTTTTTTCACAGCGGGGAAAGATGGTGAGCATTCTAAAGGCTAAGGTGGGGAGGGGGCGGTGGGGTTGAGACGACAGTAATGGTGAGGTGCGAAAGAAAGACACTTCGTGGGCATGAGAGACACAGTCACACGCCGAACACAAATATAAACATATTATTCCGTGACCACTGGTGGGTCCGCAAAGGCCGGCAGGGGAAGTGGTCCGCGGAACTGCTTGCTTTAATTTACAGTCGTTTTCGCTTCGAAAAACATGCCCATTTGTGCCCGGGTGGAACGCAAAAAAAATAAGTTCCCTGGGGTTGACAGCAAGCGGTCTGAAGGTTCCAGAGAGACCACTGCTCTGTGATGTATACCGTCGAGTAACCAGCACCGCAGTGCATTCATTTCCACAACACTGGAATTTTGGCTGTTCTCCCCGTGCATGGCGGATGATGCTCCGAACTGTTCCACTTTAAAAAAAAATGTATGCATTTGGCGCAGTGGCTCTCACACCATATAAGGTGCGAGTGAAAAGGAGATTCTCGAATGTGCTCACATATATCAACACGGCGTTGACATGTAGAAACTGGCTCATTACATGAGACTCCTTCAAAGCATTCGTTTATTATGTGTGGAGACAACCCAACTACAGAATATGAACGTTTTCACATGAAGCTATGGTGAGATGCATTAATATATCCTGTAAACAAAATGTTATACTGTACACGCATGTGCAAGCTCCTATGCATATGCCATACATTGTAGTATATACATTGTACATGCATGGTAGCCTCTACGATGTAAATACATGCATATGCTACTGATCCGTTCGAAGAGATACAACAGAAATCTAAAAGAGGTCTAACTAACCGACTGTCGTGCTGTTGAGTAACTTGGGAGTTGTAATGGCAGGAGCAATTCGCTGCTATTTGTCAATCCACTGCTGGATGAAGCTATCACCTTGCGGTGTTCGTCATGGGGGGTTTGTTTGGCCACACTTAAACTAACAATAATAAGCAGACGTATTTGTCCAGTGCCATATTCCTGGGGAGAATGTCACGAGGCCGAGGCCTGCGGCGATGCTCGAGTGTCGAGGCGCTGTGAACTTTCGGCCCAAGCAAACCAAAGGCTGCTACACTCATTCGCTGATTTCATTGCTTCATCTCCTCGGTAGACGCCTCCCCACGGTTGCGTTCCGTTCCTTGGCTGCCACTGCTTCGTTATTCTGGACCATCGCTCACCATCCATCGCTTTCCGCCACGTGTCCCGCCCGAACCCACTGATTCTTCTTTTCGGGCAGTGCTATCGACGAACGTGTTGATATTGTGTGCGGCTGTTTGTGCTAGGTGCGCCGCTTTTCACGCAGTGCCACAAAACAAGTGTTGCTTTAATGAAAAGCCATGGCGGTTACGGCGGACAAAGCCAACTGCGTCTTTAAGACGGATGCTCTGAACTTTTTTTTTATTTTCTTACCGGGAATATATATTTAATTTCATTGTGCGTGCATGAGAATGCGCGCGCGCGCGTGTGTGTGCGTGTGTGCGTATCTGTGTGGGGGAGCGGCAGTGTAGTGGTCATTGGTGCACTGCGCTACGAACCCGGCCCTCTCCGAGTTCGAGCCCTGTTCACGGCCAACAACGGCGATGGTTCTCAGAACCTGTGTTGGGCTTCCCCTTTGATCAGTGGTTCTTAACCGTTGCTGAAGCTTTGCACCCCTTTAGTTCTCAATCGTTAAAAAAAAGAAAGTATGTTAATAAATACTAAGGTTTGATGAAACAAAGTGGTTGTTCTTACGTGGCCGTGCTTAATTTGTGGTTCGATTATTTACGCTAAAAAAAATCTGCTATTTCTCGCACCCCCCCCCTCCCCCCCCCAGAAAGGGCATCACGCACCCCCCCAGGAGGTGCGTGCCCCCCCCCCCCCATTAGAGAACCACTGCCTTAGATCGACTTGGCCACAAACGAGTACCCGGTGCGATGTGTGTGTATGCATCAGCACTGGAGAGACAAAGGTGGCCGGGCGTGGTGTTTCCCCCCCCCCCACCCACCCACACCCTCCGCACTTCCTCGTGTACCCTTCATCTGTGCTCGCGAACAGCACTTACCCCAACATTCCGTCAAAGGTCTATCGGGGGTGCGTGTGTGTGGGGGGGGGGGCGCTGGCGGGCGGGCGGGCGGGCGTGCGTGCGGGGGATGAATCTTTGTCTTCGCGTGTGCCGCGTTAGACGTGGACTTGAGTTGGAAGGGCAGTGTGAGAATGCAAGAGGGACCGGCGCGGCCAATAGAATCGCTCGGGATGCCCCCGCGCGCAACGTGGCCGAGCAGCCGCGACGGAGCCTCCGTCGCCCCGCGTCCGCACACGGACGGACGGACCCACCCCGCGCCGACAGAGTGCGCAATAGTTGCTCGCAAACACGCTTAAGACGACGCGCTTCTGATCGAGAGGCAGCCAGGCAACACGTCGGAGAAGAAGAAGGAGGAGGAGGAGAAAGAGGCTGACTAGCAGTGCTGCTCGGGTGGTGGTGGTGGTGGTGGTGGGGGTGGTGGTGAGGTCTGGGTTTGGGTTGCGGTGGGGGTTGGGTAAGCGGCGCTGGCCGCTGTCGGCGTTAAAAAGTTAAAAAGAAGAAACCGGAGACGCAGCGAGGCGACGAGGATTAACCGGCGACGTCGACTGCGACGCCGCAGCGGGGTGGGGGAGGTGGCAATTAAATGTCCTGTTCGACCCAGGTGGCCGGGAGGGCTCCCCAGGTGCCCGTGGCCCCGGCGCTGCTGCAGAGCCCCGTGGGGATGGCGCAGGGATTGGTGACGCTGGCGGGCGTCGCACCGATTCCCGTGCCCGCGTCGTCGGTGCCGGCCTTCATCGCCGAGATCTTCGGCGCCTCCCTGCCGACGGCGAGCGGCGCCGGCTCGCTGCTCGCCTTCAGCTCGGAGCAGGTGGCCGGGGCGTGCGAGACGCTGCTCCGCGGAGGGGACATGGAGCGCCTGGGCCGCTTCGTGCACTCCCTGCCCACGGCCGATCTGCTGCGCAGCAGCGAGGTGGTGGTCAAGGCGAGGGCGCTGGTGGCCTTCCACTCGGGCCGCTTCCAGGAGCTCTACTCCATCCTCGAGTCCCACCACTTCCAGCCGCAGAGCCACGCGCTCATGCAGGGACTGTGGTACCGCGCGCGCTACTCGGACGCCGAGAGGCTCCGGGGAAGAGCCCTCTGCGCCGTTGACAAGTACCGGTTAAGGCGCAAGTTCCCGCTGCCCAGGACCATCTGGGACGGGGAGGAGACCGTGTACTGCTTCAAGGAGAAGTCGCGGAACTTCCTCAAGGATTGCTACAGGAGGACGAGATACCCGGCGCCCGACGAGAAGAGGCGGCTGGCCAAGCTAACGGGGCTCTCCGTCGTCCAAGTGAGCAACTGGTTCAAGAACAGGCGGCAGAGAGAGCGCGGCCCGCAGGACGGAACTCACTTGAAAAGGTCCGTTCCCGGATTTCGCTTTCTTGTCTTTCAGCAGCGAGCCTACTTGTTACCATCGAGCATGCATGCACACGCAACGCAGAGGGCTCGTCCTGGTTACGTGTCTTGTCTCGGTCGAATAACTATTGTACATATAGCCAGGGCTTAGCGCTTAAATTTATCAGCACTGCTCCAGCTAGAGGCTGACTCGGAGTCAGGGATATCGGTGTAAGGCACTACCACTAGAGTACCCGTTAAGGCCAATCGTCGGGGTGGATGCGTGGTTGCCAACACAATTTCCCGGAGCAACGTTCCGTACTGTTGCGGCTGAAATAAAGCACCGATCCCAACGGACTGTTAAATATTAACTCTTGTGTAACTAGCGGGGAAAAATCGCGCAATTAATCACCTCTCTGCCGCAAGAAGGATGCGGGTCCTGATCTGTGCCATCGGTACCAGGCCTGTCACCCCTGCACGCCGGCAGGCTCCTGGTGTTTTGAGTCCTCAATTCGACATTCCGAGTGAAGGCTTATTGGACGTGTCGCGTCTATATATGCTGGGTGTGCGTTCCGCACAGCTGAGCTGCGCTGCAATTTGAAACCGTCAGCATTTCTGTAGCAATAAGTGCTGCAGCCACCTCGTTCTATAATCCCGCCCCTTACTGATTAGCAACCAAATCCCCACCACCACTCCCCGAAAGAATGACCCCCGTCATTAGTCCGGTGTATTTATTGTTAAAAAAATAGACATTTCATGAAACCCACAGCATGAGATTGGATATTCCGTCACTGTTCTTTCTGGATAATTATATAATAAAAGTCTCCCATGGGTCAGTCCAATGCTGGATGTTGTTGAGGGCGATATTGGCACGTAAAATCAAGATTGATTGGATGAAGGCCTACCTCCTGTGCCGATGATGGAGGGGGGGGGGATTGCTTGGTCATACTTCACCAAACTGGTCACTTACGGGATGTTGAAGGGTTGCGTGGTGGAGGAGGGCTGGGGGCTAAGGGCCTTTTGAGATATCATGCGCCACTGGGGTTAGCCGTGACCAGGGGTCAAATTCAAGATCCCGGGTTCGGAGGGCAGAGCACTGACGCCTGCACCACGGCTCCCTCCTCCCCGTTTCCGTTTACAGAACATGCATTAAGTAACATGTCTTGACACAGGATTCTCAGATCATTAATACGCGATGTCAAGATTCATAGTTTATTTTGGGGTTCAATCGCGTAGGTATAATATCTCATTGTATTAACTATAACCCTCCACCACCCGACGGAGCCAATCAAATCAAGTTGTCACTTTGATGGGCAATTATGCCAAATGATTTGGCCACGTGACAACTACACGGTGGCTATGAGATGTTAACTCCCTCACCTAGTCTGCAGGAGGCCATGAGTTAGATCCCGACCCTGACGCCTGTATATATGGAGATAGCTGTGTCTCTCTTCCCGTGGTCGAGTGGAGGTTTGTTCCGGGTCCTCCGCTTCCCTCCCTCCCCCCGCCACATTTAGAAACGTGAGTTTAGAGGAGTATTTGGCTGCTAAAAATGTCCACATGAGAAAACTCCGGTGAGCTATCATTTGTGGTCTGGTCGCTTCGGAAAAAGAGCTATATAGCTCAGTGGGCCTTGCGTGGTAAATAAAAATAGTGATGTAAAAAAGGGTTTGTGGGGAGGAGGAAGAAAAAAAACCGTTCCGACAGTCCCTTTAACATACAAGTGAGATTTAACATTTGTATAACAGATGGCAGGAAGGCGGGGGGGGCGGGCACTGGCACTGGTGGCTTGTGATATTAATCGAGCATTATTTTTTTATTATTTCTGTCACGCTATGAACCCAGCGACCAGAGTTTGATTACCAGCCATGCTTAATAACATCAGGGGCGGGACGGAGTGCGAGGAGTGATATCTGAACTGGCCCTGGACACCACCTCCCCCCCCCTCCACCCCCGTGTTTTCGGGTTGTGCCACGGTGTTCTTCGGCACGAGCTGCCGACGTTTTGCTGCACATTTCAACTCCGCTTCCTCGAAGGGGCTTCCCGGCACGTGGAGCAAAAAACGCCGAGCAAACGCCACGGTGCACAGACGCCAAACCACGCGGTCGCCACTGCGATGTGCATGCAGTCTTCCAAGTCAAAGCGACTTGCTGCTCAAGCAAGCATCGAAACAGTTGCTCGTCTCTGCCTGTAGAGCCCAGAGCCAGCGGTGGACATTCCACATTCCCATGGCGGGGCGAGTCTATCTGGGGCGCCACGGTGGCTAGGAGATGTTAACTACCTCGCCTGGTATACATGAGGTCATGGGTTCGATTCCGACCCTGACGCCTGCTGTATATTGGGTGTTTGCATGATCTCTCTCCCCATGGTCGCGTGGATTTTTCTCCTAGTCACTCGGTTTTTTTCCCACACACATTTAGAATCAACATCACGCGTTTGGAGTATTGGGCTGATGTTAAATTTCCACACGAATAAGCCATTTCGTTGAGCTATCATTTGTGGCCAGGCCGCTTCTGAGAAAAGAGATCAATATAACGCAGCGGGCCTTACCTGGTAAAATAAAATAAAAGTTAAGTTTAAATAATTGATATCTACGTGGCAACCACCGTCGACTGATCCACGAAGTGTTTTTTTTTTGTAGTAGTAGTTGTTGTTGTCTATGGCGCTGGCTCGTAGAGAGACGGGAAGAGAGAGAGAGAGCGGTGGTCCATCTGTGCGTGGCCACGCAGCACGATGGTTCATGGTGGTGTACAGTGAGAACCGCTGCCGCCACAAGGATGGAGGGGCCCCGCGTTGGGGTGGTGGTGGTTGTGATGGGGGGGGGGGGTTAGAGACGTGGGGGGTGGTGGGGGGTGGTGCTCCTGCAGATGTGATGGTATGCGGTAAGGGAGCTCCGCCCGCGTTTGGCCTCCGCCGCCGCTCGGAGCGAATGTGGAGCGCACATTTCTTCCCAGAGCGTCGTGGTCGTGTCCGTCCGTGTTTCCCCAAAGGGCCGTGTTGTGCCCGTGTTTATTTCTTGGGTTAAAAAAAATATAAGTTTGTCTTCCCCCCCCCCTCTCTCCCAACCTCACCCCCCCCCCCCCACACGCCCAACTGAGCAATTCTAAAACCTTTTGCCTTGGCAACATTGTTCGGTTGACTCGTGCGAACGGATGACAACAACAGCTTGTTTTAGTCTTCAAGACGTGATTAGCCGTCATTCCACGTGAAGTCACCATGTGCACAAAGTGCGTATTTTGTTCACGTACTTTGATTTGTGTAGCGATACGTTGTGGTATGGTATGGTAGCCATACCACCACAATGCAAGAGCTATCCAGGTGAGAAACAATAAAATAATAAAAATATAAAACAATTAAATTCTCACGACGTTTCGACTGCAACACAAGCAATCATCACCAGAGGACCTGATGATGATTGCTTATGTTGCAATCGAAACGTCGTGAGAATTGTATTGTTTTATATTTTTATTATTTATTGTTTCCCTTCTAAGTGACTTTACCGAAAGAACCAAGAATATGAATCCCTGCAGTCACGAAAGCTTTACATCAAAAATCTATCCAGATGAGTTTACTTTCGCACTGTACGTAGCCACCCCTGCTATTTTTGAGGTGTGGGGGAAAGACAACAATCCAGCCACAAAAAAGAAGTTCTAAAGAAATTAGTTTAACCTTTTTTAAAATTAGTTTTCAATTTTCAGTTGTGGTATACAAATGTTAAGCACACTAGGCTACGAACCAAGCGACTTGAGTTTGATTCCCGGCCATGGCCAACATCAGTGACGAGTGATATCAGAACGGGTTATGGGCTCCCACTTCAACAATCCACGCCGACCAGCAAGGTGAAGTATGGCAAAACCACAATCACGACTGACATGCGCTAGGGGAGGCCTTCATACATTGGTGGATTGACAAAGACTGAAATCAAAACAAAAAAAATATGAAATGCATGCACACTGTACTTAGGAAAGTAAATTAGGATTAAATCCACAAGCAACATCCTTTTCCAAACAATACATGGCAGGGACACGTGTTGAATATGTGGTGATGGCATTGGAATTTGAAGTCCAGAGGGATCAACCGGACAGTTTAATGGGTTCATAGATGAAAGTGAATTGAGTGGAGAAAAAGTGCAGTGCTTTTAGGTGCATTTACGATGCTAATGGGGTAATCCTTTCAGCAGAAAGTGACACCCATTGAAGCAGAGATTTCCATATGTGCATCAGATTACAGTGAGGGAAAAAAAGTATTTGATCCCCTGCTGATTTTGTACGTTTGCCCACTGACAAATGATCAGTCTATAATTTTAATGGTAGGTTTATTTGAACAGTGAGAGACAGAATAATAACAACAACATCCAGAAAAACGCATGTCAAAAATGTTATAAATTGATTTGCATTTTAATGAGGGAAATAAGTATTTGACTCCCTCTCAATCAGAAAGATTTCTGGCTCCCAGGGGTCTTTGACACAGGTAACGAGCTGAGATTAGGAGCACATTCTTAAATGGAGTGCTCCTAATCTCAGCTTGTTACAAAGATACCTGTCCACAGATGCAATCAATCAATCAGATTCCAAACTCTCCACCATGGCCAAGACCAAAGAGCTCTCCAAGGATGTCAGGGACAAGATTGTAGACCTACACAAGGCTGGAATGGGCTACAAGACCATTGCCAAGCAGCTTGGTGAGAAGGTGACAACAGTTGGTGCGATTATTTGCAAATGGAAGAAACACAAAACAACTGTCAATCTCCCTAGGCCTGGGGCTCCATGCAAGATCTCACCTCATGGAGTTGCAATGATCATGAGAACGGTGAGGAATCAACCCATAACTACACAGGAGGATATTGTCAATTATCTCAAGGCAGCTGGGACCACAGTCACCAGAAAACAATTGGTAACACACTACGCCGTGAAGGACTGAAATCCTGCAGCGGCCGCAAGGTCCCCCTGCTCAAGAAAGCACATATACATGCCCGTCTGAAGTTTGCCAATGAACATCTGAATGATTCAGAGGACAACTGGGTGAAAGTGCTGTGGTCAGATGGGACCAAAATGGAGCTCTTTGGCATCAACTCAACTCGCCGTGTTTGGAGGAGGAGGAATGCTGCCTATGACCCCAAGAACACCATCCCCACCGTCAGACATGGGGAGGTGGAAACATTATGCTTTGGGGGTGTTTTTCTGCTAAGGGGACAAGACAACTTTACCGCATAAAAGGGATGATGGACAGGGCCATGTACCGCCAAATCTTGGGTGAGAACCTCCTTCCCTCAGCCAGGGCATTGAAAATGGGTCGTGGATGGGTATTCCGGCATGACAATGACCCAAAACACACGGTCAAGGCAACAAAGGAGTGGCTCAAGAAGAAGCACATTAAGGTCCTGGAGTGGCCTAGCCAGTCTCCAGACCTTAATCCCATAGAAAATCTGTGGAGGGAGCTGAAGGTTCGAGTTGCCAAACGTCAGCCTCGAAACCTTAATGACTTGGAGAAGATCTGCAAAGAGGAGTGGGAGAAAATCCCTCCTGAGATGTGTGCAAACCTGGTGGCCAACTACAAGAAACGTCTGACCTCTGTGATTGCCAACAAGGGTTTTGCCACCAAGTACTAAGTCATGTTTTGCAGAGGGGTCAAATACTTATTTTCCTCATTAAAATGCAAATAAATTCATAACATTTTTGACATGCGTTTTTATGGATTTTTTTTGTTGTTATTCTGTCTCTCACTGTTCAAATAAACCTACCATTAAAATGATAGACTGATCATTTCTTTGTCAGTGGGCAAACTTACAAAATCAGCACGGGATCAAATACTTTTTTCCCTCACTGTATATCGTCAGCCATGGTCAGTCCGCTGCTGGATGAAGACCTCAAATCCGGCACGTACGGTGCGAAAGAAATTCAACGTACATGCATTCCATCGACTTCGCACAATCGTGCAGTGTAATGATCCATCTAACACCTGCGCACAGGCTGATTTCATCATTCCATCTCCCCGGTGGACCTTATCTTAGATGCATTTCGTTCGTTGGCTGATATTCCGTCATTACAGTGTTATTGACCATCTGCCATTAGGGTCTTCCAGTGACGTATCCTGCCCAAGCCCAATTTACTTTTTATTACAACCCTGCTTATGTTCTTTATTTTACGCAATTCTCTTTCAGCCTCTCGACGTAACTCCAAGCAGACTTATTCTCTTAAATGTACAAATGTGTCTGTATGAATATGAAATATCGACTCGGTGAACGTAACAGGACTTACATAATAATGCTGACGTAACATGGAGGGAGCCAGTGTGTGCCTCCCGTGGAGACCGTGTTTACTCTGTGCCGTGTGTGATTATTCTCCACAGTGAAAACGACACCGACGATGGCGAGCAAAGTGCGAAAGAGGATCACGTGGACTTTCAAGAGCAGCACATGCTCAACCTTTCACCTCCGACAGAGGCGGACGGCAACACCATGTCGAACAACCAAGAGGTCGAGTCTCTTCTGGAAGAAGTCTTCTCCTCCGACTCCTCGTTCAGCAATCAGATGACTCCACTGCTGTCGCCGTGCATGTCGGACCACGATCCCATTGACCCTTTGGACGACAGCCCCTTTCCAGACATGGAGAGCGGCGCAGGTCCCGTCGGAGACGCGAACCAGAGCGAGCGAGACGCCGACGCCGCCGCCGCCGCCGCCGCCCAAACGCACGCCGCTGCCGCCACGGCCACGACCGGCAAGAGCGGCCGTCTGGCCGGTCACGTCGCCGCCGGCGCCGCCAACCCGACCCTTCGTTTCAAAACCGCTTGCGCAGACAACAACGCCACCTTCTTCAGCACGGCCCAGGTCGTCGGCGGCGGAGGCGGAGTCGCCTTTCAGCCTCTGACGCAGTTCGCGTCACAGACCGTGACTCCGGTGGCCTCGTTGCTATCGATGAGTCCCGCTGGCCCCATGTATCTGCCCCCGCTGCAGGTGACCGGTGCCACCCACCACCAGCCCGTGCAGTTCGTGCCCTACAGCCCCGTCCAGATGGCGTACCCCGCTGTGGTGAATGGAGGTGCCATGCCAGTCGTCAGCGGCATGGGGCTGCCCACAATTCAGCTGCCTTCAATATCGCCATTACAGACGGCAGGTTATTTGGTTTCTTTACGTTTTATTGCATCTGTGAATAAATCACCATTTACACACGTGAACGCATATTCAGCTTTCTTACGTTTTAATTGCGTAAACTGTTTTTGTTTTTTTTACTTCATTCATCAACGTTGGTAAATTTTATACAGCGTATACTTTGTAGTTGGGTGGAGCGGTGGGGCAGGGGGTAGCGCACTGTGCTACGAACTCGGCTATCAACTTGCGTTCTATTTCTGGCCACGGCTCACAATGGTGGCACGTGATAACTCAACCAGTTCTGGGCTCCTCCGCTCACCAACCCCCACTGACCAGTGTGGTGAAGTATGGTCAAACAACCCTCCATGAATGATACTGCATGGGGAAGACTTGCATCTAGCAGTGGATTGATGTAGCTCTGAAAATGTTTACTATTCTATGTTTAAGGGATGAGGATTTATATGAAAGCTACCTCTCAGACTAAAATTAAGAGTGTTTAATTTATTAACCTTGGTTAGACGCTGGGGCGATTTTACATGTTTAACTCTAAACCGAAGCATTATTTGCTATAAATGTTTAGTACACGTGTTGTAAAACTATTTAACAAACCCCCGTTATCAATGACCTTGTTTTTGGGGCCAACCCCATTGTGTGTGTGTTCTTCCAGCAGGGAACATCCTGGTGTCGAATACGCTCGCTGGTGGCGACCTGTTAAATGGAAACACCATGGCCACGAGCACCACCGGCATCCTCATCACCAACGCCCTTGCGCCAAGCACGATGCTCTGCTCCATGCCTCACGTGAGCCTAATGACGGTTATCACTCAAGACGGAAGCCTAGCCCTGACACCTGTGTTTAACATTCCCAGTGGAATATATCCGGATGGCATCTCAACCTCGAACGTTATTCCATGCGCTGGAAACTACCTTTCGTTGACTAATAATAACATATCTCCCCTGATGGTCCAGGGAATTCCTGGCAACGGGATCGTAGGAATGGGCGGCCTGACTCCGAGTCTGCCGACGGTCAGCCAAACGGCAGATGCCATTGCGGGTCAGATGGGCAGCGCCACGCTTTTTTCCAGGACGGTCAGCACCGCGCTGATGCCAACGACGCTAAACACCAACGCATTAGCGATGCAGCAGACGTATTTGTACAATCACGCCGGAGGGTTAGACACCGCGGCCGTGCAGGTCGTGTACGCCGAGGCTCCGCCCGTGTACACCCCCATGCCCGTCGGAGCGCCGGCAGAATCGGCGGTTTACAAGTCGGCGAACGAGGCGATATCGGCCATCGCGGATTGCTGCTACGAAGACCTCAACACTAGCAGCAGCGTGGGCAGCGACTCGACGGACAACAAGTCGGAGGCGGACAGCCTGCTCGGGTCTCCGCTCGACCTCTCCGGGAGCATGGGCGCCGTCGGCAACGCGGAGAATGAGGGCAAGGAGGAGGGGTCCGAGATGACCTCGGACGGTCACGAGGACTTTGTTCATGGCCTGCTTCCCAAGATGACCAGTGCCCCTGACGATGACAATTTCTACGATTTTGATGATTTTTAATCGGGTTGCGCCGAATAGCACTCTTTACCGTTTGGCTGAATAATAAACACCGAAACACATATTCATCCAAATTTCAATTTAAAGCTGAATAGTAAGGCCCACCCAACTCACATCATTCTCTTACCCAACTCAATGTGCGCTCTCACCTGACTCGCTGTTCTCTTGTCACCTAACTCACCTCGCCTCACCTCCACCACTTCTCTCCCACCTAACTCACTAGGCTCTCACCTTACTCACTCCCCCTCTGAAATCTCTCATATCCCTTTCTCGCCTAACTCACTGCCCTCTCACTTCCGCTCTCTCGCCTAATTCTCTTTCCCCTCTCTCGCCGAACTCACTGCGCTCCCTCACCACGCATCTCCGTCTCAAAGCGCGCACCAATGCGGTGCGTCGCAAACGCATCTCTACAGAGGTAGGCCGAGGCTGAACAGCGCGACACTACCACACACCATGCTGTTATTGGTGAACGAGGTGGCTGCGAGCGATCACAAAATGTATTTTGAAAACGATTGGAAAATCGAGGGTGCTGTTACGCAACTGTTCGGCCCAATCAGAATAGCTGAAAGATAGCCGCTGTTTGGACAAAATTCAGAAGTTAATAGATATATTTCAGCGCATCCATATTTTGTATGATTATAACTATATCTTTACGTCTATTCAAACCAAATAAGCTACGTATGTTGCTTCCCAATATAAACTGTTTTGTCTGAAGCAATGTAAACATCTGCTCGAATTTTTGTATTATTACGCGGTGAATTATCGTATTAGCATGTTATTACAAGTGTATCAAGCTTTTGCTAAACCGAAGCTTCGAACAGACCTCTCTGCCAAGACGGTTCATGCCTTGCCTCAATAGAAGATGATTCTAGCCTCAGCCGAAGTGGCAAAACCACAACTCTTTGATGCTTATGCTATTTCAAAGATCATCCTAGGAGGCTCATGAGGGATTGTGAAGGCTCGGCCCCCATTCTGCACACGGGCCAGACAAGATGCAGATTCTGTGGCCTACTTGACAAGAGACCAGAACATGTTAAAACCCTGGGTTGGTGTAAGCCTGCCTGGAAACAGCTGCTGGTAATGGTACTAAGAGGTCGTCATGGACTTAGAATAACTAAGTTTGCCACCTATCCTGGAATTGTCATCTGTGGTAGATCTGGTGGTGTAATTGTTTTGAACTTTTTTTCCAGTACACTGCACAGTTTTAATCGACCTAGGCTGGCTCAGAAATATTTCCGGGTTTTGGTTTAGATAGAGGTCACATTCCTAGGAATAAGTGACCGTCTTCTGTAGCCTTTATATCAGTATTGGACTGAAATGTCCCAACGTTTTTGCACATTTCAGCTGAAGGTGTATGTTACTGCATGTTTGTTTGAAGATGGGCACAAGAGATGCATTTTTAAAAGGTGATTAATAGACTTGAAGGGCAGTTTAAAAAAAAATTAAGCAACATTAGTCTCCAATGCCCACCTTTACAGGAGTACTTGGTGGCAGGGGCACAAGCCACTGTGGAGGCTGTAGGTGTCTCCACATTCACGCGGTGTTTGGATGTGGCACAATACTTGGGACAGAAATCACGGTAGTTTTTTTTAGTCTGCGATTTACTCCGTTCAACGAGGTGAATTATGCGGAGCCTTTTTTTTATTTTGACCGATGAAAACCAAGAACCACTCACGAATTGGGACTCCCCTAACTTCCCTACCCCCGTGCGGCTGTGTGGATGGGGATGCGAAGGGATCTTGACAACAGCATGAGTCCATAGGCCACAGCAAAAAACGGGTACCACCGAACTTACCAAAACTTCACTGGTGCTAACATGTATACGGCCAACGAGAAGTGTATCAATTGACAACCCCACTCATACATTTTGATTTAAAGCTTTCGTGACTGCAGTAATTCATATTCTTAGCTCTTTCGGTAAAGTCACGTTGAAGGGAAACAATGAAATAATAAAAATATATAAAACAATAAAAATTCTCACGACGTTTCGACCATAACACAAATGGTCGTCATCAGGTGTGAACACCCAACGGCAAGAAACATTTGAAAGAAGCGTCGGTTTGCATTAAATTATTTATTTTTAAACGGTGTTTTTATTTATAAAAAAAACGTCAGCGCCATGCGCAGCGATTTGGCAGTTTATTTAGAAGGACTAGTCCATCTATGTTCTGAAAAGAGGAGGGGGGAGACGAAAAATTAATGTATGCTGTCTGAAAGCCACCGTAAGCGTGAACAATCAATTAAGACCTGAAATGGTTTATCAAATCCTTCCAATGATTGCTAAGCCAGAATCCATCTTCTGTCTACAGGAAAGCTACCCATACGGATGCTTATCTGAAACCGGATTCCCACCACCATCCATCACAGAAGAATTCTCTCATCAAGACTGTACCATAGAGCCCAATGCATATCCGACCAGGAACACATAGGCAGTGAACTCAAGCACGTACACCAAGCTCTTAAGGCTAATGGTTACTCCGACTATACAATCCGCAAAGCTATCACTCAAACCATGAAGAAGAACCCTCTTGAGGAGCCTCAAAACCATTACTTTACCCTACATTGCGGGGATCACAAAAAAGATCTCCAAAATCTTGAATAAACACAAGATCCAGGTCCGTTTCAACACATTACATAAAATCCGTGATCTCGTTCCGTCTGTAAAACATGTGATTCCGGACATACAGTACCCTGGTGTCTACAAACTAAGTTGCCTCTGTGGTAGTAGTTACATTGGAGAAACCAAACGCCATGTCTCGGACCGCATTCGTGAACACAAAGCAGACCTTAAACACGGTAGGACCAACACCTCGGCCGTGGCAGATCATTGTTATAATTCAGTAGGCTCACATGACATTGACTTTTCCAAGACAGAGGTTATTTGTAAGCCATCTGGCTACCATGAGAGATTCGTTCATGAGGCTATCCACATATACAAGCACAGAGACAATTTCAACCGAGAAGATGGATTCTGGCTTAGCAATCATTGGAAGGATTTGATAAACTATTTCAGGTCTTAATTGATTGTTCACGCTTACGGTGGCTTTCAGACAGCATACATTAATTTTTCGTCTCCCCCCTCCTCTTTTCAGAACATAGATGGACTAGTCCTTCTAAATAAACTGGCAAACCGCTGCGCATGACACTGACGTTTTTTTTTATAAATAAATAAATACACCGTTTAAAAAAATTAATTAATGCAGACCGACACTTCTTTCAAATGTTTCTTGCCGTTGGGTTTTTTCACACCTGATGATGACCGTTTGTGTTATGGTCGAAACGTCGTGAGAATTTTTTATTGTTTTATATATATTTTATTATTTTATTGTTTCCCTTCAACGTGACTTTACCGAAAGAGCTAAGAATATGAACCCCACTCATATCAAATGGTTATGGCTGGTGTGGGCCACATCAAAAAAATTCGAGCAATGCCACCTCAGGTGGTGCCGAGAAGTAACGTTTCTGCTTTGGGCTCATGGACAAGTTGTCTCACGGCAAGCTTTTGCGTACCGATTGAGATACTTATACCCAGGTGTGTGGCTTCCCTTTAACGTTCTTCACTAGCCACTGTCAGCATTCATCTCACGAATAACAATACTCTTTGGTTCTTTCGGTAAAGTCACGTAGGTAGAAAATAACAGATCGCGACGTTTCGATCGCAACACAAGCAACCGTCATCAGGTGAGATCAACGCACAGCAGGGGAGCTGCGCGTTGATCTCACCTGATGACGGTTGCTTGTGTTGCGATCGAAACGTCGTGATCTGTTATTTTATACCGACGTGACTTTAACGAAAGGACCAAAGAGTATGGATTCCTGCAGTCACGAAAGCTTCCAATCCAGAATGATCCTATTGCCAGGCCCTCTGCCAATCAATGGATGGATGAAGCTCTCCCCACGGCGTGCCGGTCATGAGGCTTTCGCTTCCATTGGTCAATGCGGATTGGTGAAGGGGGTAGTTCATGATCGGTTCAGATGTCGCTCGCCGCTGAAGTTAACCATAGCTGGAAATAAAACTCGGGTTACAGGGGTTCATGGCACCGTGCACTAATCGCATGACAGAACTGACGTTTGATTAGTAGTTATGAAAATACAGTTGACAAAAAATAATATATCCATTCCGTTTGCATCTTGGCTCAGTCAGTCAAATTGGGTGCACTGCAATATTTCCGAAACAATGAACTTGCATACATTCCTTGTAGCGAAAGCCACATTAGTTATAGGTTTCTCAGGGGTTGCCGACCAGGTGGCTAAGCGGTTAAATCGAGCGGCTCACAATCGCGAGGTTGCGAGTTCAAATGCTGGGTGAGTGTTGACTCAGCCCCATTACCGCTCCGAGGTGATGAAAATTAGTACCAATTTGTGGGGAAGTCAATAGTGGTTGTTCTATGGACAGACCCGTCCCTGCTGTAGGAATGTGGAATTTCCACCACTGGCTCAGGGCTGTAAAGAGGAGATGAGTGCCGCCTCAATGCTCATTTCAGCAGAAAATCACTTCGACTTCTGAGAATAAAATAGTAATCAGAAGCGTTTTTTTATGGCCCAAGAAATTGGTACAACGGTGTCTCTGGGTGCCACTAAAGATTCCCACATGGCTGGAAATGCAACCGAATGAAAATAAAAGCCCGTGTAGCAATAGCAGTCTGGTGGCTAAACATCGTTTTCAGAATGGACACGAAATTAATATTTTCAGGAAAACTGCATCCACGTGATTGTCTAACCGTATTTTTTTGTTAATTCACTTTTTAGCAATACGGCGTCGTGTATTTCTAGCACAATTTTGTCTTTTAACAGCCCGTTTAAATGTTAAGTCCAGACAGCGGTCACAATCGACGTGTGCCTACACTTATGAAATGTCGAAGGTGTCAAAGGTGCGGCCCTGCAACTGAACTGCTCATGCCACTGCTGGCGGGAAGGGCCTCCCTGCTAAAACGAGCTCTAGAGTGGGTATTTGGTCTACTCTTCCACGGGCTGACCGCACGTGTTGGACGAGGCAATTACTCTGAAACGCATTGTCGCCTCACACTTGGAACGTGGTGGCCAGAGTCATTTTACGTGGATGTGTGACGGTTACACTTGGCCTGGGACAGACTGTACTCGGTATGGAGCCAATGGAAAGATGATCTAACTGCCATAGCCTTGGCTGTAATTGTACCCAGTGCGAATCCTTTTATCAAGCAGTGCAGCTATGAAACGACTGTAGTACTAAATCAAAATTTAGTACTACTAATTTTCTTGCTGTGGTTTTCACACCTGATGATGATTGCTTGTGTTGCAGTCGAAACGTCGTGAGAATTTTATTGTTTTATATTTTTATTATTTTATTGTTTCCCTTCTACGTGACTTTACTGAAAGAACCAAGAATATGACTGTAGTACTGTCAAGTTTTCGAGGTATACAACCACTGTCGATGTACCCCACGTATTTAAAAAATGCGAGAGTTCGGCTTACTTGGATACGAGATTTCATGAATGTTAATGAAGTTCACAAGATAGACCTATACGAGAGTGATTATGGAAGAGCAAGACTCATATTGGTAGACATTCTAGATTGATTGGTGGCTCCCTACCCTAATAGGGGCGCCGCAGTGGCGAGGTGTTAATTCCCTTGCCGAATATGGCAGAAGGTTGTGGGTTCGATCCCGATCCCGACTCTGACGCCTGCTGAATAATTGGAGTTTGCATGTTCTCCCTGTGGTCGTGTGGATTTTTCTCCGGCTCCTCCGGTTTTTCACTCCATATTTGGAAACGTGCGTTTTAGAGTATTTGGCTGCTAGACATTTCCACACGATAAGCCACTTCATTGGGCTATCATTTATGGCCAGGTCGCTTCTGAAAAAGAGCCATAATATAGCTCAGTGCCTGGTAAAATAAATACAATTAATAGTTTCAATTACAGACTACCATTTTTATTTAATATCCAAACAATTATGGGTAAGGAAAGATCTCCCTGAGGTTATTGTTGTTAAGACCCCAATGCAGTAAAGAATGCAGTGTTTTGTGAAAGACATTCGTATCTGTTTAGCTGAGCAGCGGTGGCTATGCACGTGGCCTTGTAATCCCTCACTGTGGAGACGAGTGTTGGCGGAGTACACAAATGTTTTGGAACTTCCTTCCCGTTGACAGAGGAGGTGCCATTGCCCTGGGTCGCCAAGAAAAGGCAGTACAGGAAAAAGATGAGTTCTCTCTGTATGAGATAAAGTGGTGCCTCCTCACACGCGTGAGTTATTTCAGGGCCGCTCCAATTTCCTCCCACGTGTAAACATTCATCTAATTGGTAGAAATACATCTTAATATATAGGGGACCGCTGAACTTGGGCAATTGTTGGCACTGGCTGACCACCTGGCTGCCCTTTCCGCTTGTCTGCGGTTCCTCGTCTCTCTCTCTGTTTGTGAGTGAGCGAACACTGTGCAGCAGGTTGCAAGCTGAAACCATGATTACTATTATTCTGCGAACCTCTTCCCACTGGGCTTTTGGACCACAGGTTTGGGAAACAATGGTTGAGGATATTCTGCAGAACCGCACCACTTTTTGGGAAGAATGCTCTTGCCGTAACTTCAAACAAATTCAGTCCGTCGCTGTCATAGCGAAATTGATTTTCCGAACCTTTTCCACCGTCTCAAAACATCTAAAATCGCGCGCGCTCGATGCAAATTGCACGGCGCGCGTGTAGACCTCTGCGAACGCTTGGCACAAACGCACGACAGTAGCTCTCAAAGCAGCGCAACGCAACCTGGTGGAAGAGGCACTCCGAGGGCCTTGTCGTGAGCAGTATTTTTGGTACCAACTCTCATTGAGAAACATCGAGTGCATGAGATAGCCATCTACAACTGTGACTCGTGTTTTTCACCAAAAAGTGTCACAAAAAAATATGTCTTAAATTGTTTACCCTGCCCCCTCCTCACCCCCTGTTCTCCCATTCCAACCCCCCCCCCCTTTCCCTCGACAGTGATGGGGGAGGT